AGGGAAAGCAGGACTCGTCCTGGGCCACTGCAGCTCAGACCCCACCACAGCAGCACAAAGCACGGCAGCTTCCAGATCACAGGGTGTGCAGCAGGCCGCGGAGTGCAGCAGCTCAGGACAGCACCATAACCTCTGGGTATAATGTCTGGTGAGGGGCAAGAATGATTTAAATCATCCCAGTTCCAGCTGCCAAACCTCCCGAGTCAGAGTCTGCAGGCTGTTACCTAATCCTTTCCCTCGACCATGGAAACTGAAAGTTGGGGTTTCTTGCCTAGCCATGCATTCATGTGCATATAAAGTAAATATGTGACTATGCAAACATTGCTGAAGAAACTTTTATATCACATTCCAAAATATTCAGTCTCAATTGCAGTTTCTCATGTTATTTTTTCCCATTACCTTCTTTCTCTTTCCTCTTTCCTTTTTTTCCTTTTCCCTTTGCCTTTTCTTTCTTTTTTAATTTCTTGCTTACATTCTCTCTTTTCCTAACACAAAATACACATTTTTATAAAGATGTGATCTTTTTCATGGGCTGAAACATAACAAATGATAGATATATAATATATACAGTAGAATAGAAACTAATATTACATATTACAGCATAATTGACATAACACATTTAATATTTTTAAATAGATCTACACACAAATATATATATATCTGTGTGTATATATGTATGTATGTATGCCTATAAAAATCCATTACAATACTTCGAGATTTTTCATTACCAGGTAGAAAAAAGACTCAGCAGGGGAAGAGCAGTGAGAACTCCATTCAGTAGCATGAATCCTGTTTTTGTCAGGATACCTCTTGCTGCTAAGGTCACTACCCTTTGACAAAAATGGCCTCTGACCTCCCCAGCCCCACAATTCTGTTGTGACTGACCCTGAAACCCATGAAATTCAGGGGCAGACATTGCTTTGGAAGGTTTAGATAAAGCTGACTAACATGGGAAGGGCTCCTGGTATGCACCCATCTGAAAAGGTCTGGCAGTTCTTTGGTAGAGGATGCAATTTATTCTGTCCCTCTCTTTCATTGAAATCCTAATCCTTCATATGCTACATAAAGTGGAAACTAAAACGTGCTGATGATGAATAACAATGTGCCTTTAAAGGGCAGTAACAGTTTCCTAACCTTTATTTTTCAGGTTTTGTAATTAAAAAAAAAAAATTGGCGATGTGCAAGTAAAATGAGTGTTTTGCTGTGCTGCAAAGTAAATCTAAGCAGGCTTATACTTTATTATAGAGCTGTAAATCTAACAGGCAAAAGACTTTTCACCGGGTTTATCTCCAAAGCTGCATTGGTTTACAGATGGATCTGACTCAGAAGGAATGGCTGCACACTGGGTGGCTGGATTCTGTTACTCCTTGCAGCCCAGTGACTGTGCTGTTTTGGATTTATATCCCAGTTCTTGTGGCAAGAAACTTGTAAGGAGGAAATTCAGGTTCTGGTCTGGATGTGCATGTTTAACACTGCAGACATGCACCGTCACATCTGACCACCTCTGGGCCCTGTCCATCCGCAGGGACAACCTCCCCTGCCTTTTCCACTATGGAACCGGTCATTTGTGAGATGAAAGGTTTCTCTTTGTCACAGATTCCTGAATTGAAGGAATAAAGATTTCAAGGAGAGACCGGCCACAGCTCCGTACGAACATGTTTGGGTTTTTTGTTTTTTTTTTGTTAACATATCAATTTCTGCTACCTGGACAATGAATTTCCATTATAGGTACCTTGAGTATGGACATACCGTGTATCTGCTCGGTGTGGTTTAAATCCACGGTCTTACAAAACCTCCGTACAGACATGGTTCACCTTTGCCCGGCTCTGCCGATGCAGCCCGCCTTCTCCTCCTGCCACCTCCTGAACAAAGCGGAGAACTTCCTAATGGTGTACCGTCATTGCTCTGGTGGGTTAGACTTGAGAAAAAGGGGGTTGGTTTTGCAACTAGACGCTGTGGGGAAGCCCCGCTTCACACGGAACACGCACAGACTTCGCCGGCGGTGGCAGCCCAATGACCTAAAAGCTAAAGAAGGAGGGCCAGCCCCGCTTGTGGCAGCCCTTCGCCTTGTGACAGACACGGTGTGCACAGGGCGGCTAGCAGAGAGCACACAATCGGGCAAGCCTCAGGAGGACGGGGGGACATGCCGGGCAGCGCCCTGTGCCGCCGGGCGTCCCGGGAGCCCGCTACCGCCGCGCTTCCCGGCAGGCGCCCTCGGCGCTGTGGGCACGGACTACAGCACCCATCGTGCCCCGCGCAATATAGCCCGGCGCGCGGCGCCGTTCGGCATGCTGGGAGATGGAGTCCTCTCTCCGCAACGGCCGGCGGCGGGACGGCAGCCAATAGGAGGGGTCGGGGGTGCGCGCCGCCGGCCGCTCCAGCCAATGGCGGGCGGACGCTGCCTGCCAGTCCGGGCGGCTTCCGCGGGGAGCGTCGGGCGCGTCAGGGGGCGTGGAGCGCGCGGGCGGGGTGCGGCCGCTGCCGGCGGCGCCGGGCGGGGCGGGCCGGGCCGGGACTGTCGGGCATGGAGCCGGGCGCGGAGCCGGCCCCGGAGCTGGGCGCGGTGCTGGAGGCCGTGGAGGGGCGCGGCGGCGGTGGCGCCGAGGCGGTGGAACGCGTCCTGGCGTGGTACAACGAGGAGGTAACGGGTCCCATCCCCCTCCCCTCTGCGCCGCTCCCCCGGCGGTGTCGCCGGCCCGCCTCGCCCGCCATCGGCAGCGCCGCCAGCATCGTCCTGGTTGCCCCCGGGCTGGGCTCTGCAGCGGGTCACCAGCGCTCGCCGCTTCACCGCCATGCCCCTGCCCCCCACAGCCCCTGCCCGGCGCAGCCTCCCGTCCGTTCCCGTGCTCTCCCGGGAGCCGGGGCAGTGTCCTGAGGAAAGCAGACTTCCAAGGGAACACAAAGCCCATGGCCAGGCTCGGCCCCTGGCACCGGTTGTGTGGGTTATCTGTGATCGGGCTGTTGGATAGCATACATTTGCCTCACAAGTCTTCTAACCTACGTATGCCACTGGGCAGGGGCTGGACAGAAGAACACCGAAGTCTCTTGGTAGCTGCCCACCTGCCTGAGGTGCTGCCCTTTGTCACCGGGAATAGAGAGGGCTTTCCATCGCCTGGACAGTGACCGTGTCAGTGGGCAGGGGCGGGCATGGTGTGAAGTGGGCTGACACAGCGCGTTACATTTTTCCGTGTTTCTGGCCAAGCAAAGTGAAAGGGGAAGACAGCTTAGAGCAGGTTGAGTTTTTAATGCTGGCAGGTATGCAAAAGTAGTAAGGGTCTACTGCTGCTACAGTCTAATAAGGGCATGTTCAATCAAGAAGTGAAGAGGTTTCCTGCTGATGTAGGAAGGTGAAAATCAGGGTGAAAGTAGATGTTGGGTGGGTTTTGTATTTTTTCCCACCTCTTCTGATAGGGGCGTTTTGACATTTAGGTTGTAGTAGAGCAGTACAGTCCATTCTGAAAGATTGCGTCTCAGCCCATCAGGTGCTTGTGTGATTGGTTCACAAGTCTCTAAAGCTGGTACTGACTCCGAGTTTGGCTTTGGCTGTAATTTAAATGCAGTCATGTTGAACTAGTTATTGACTGAAATTTAGGAATCTGTTACAGGAACAAACATTCAGATCTTTAGTTAAAGTTTCATAGCTTTGTGATTAGGAGAGAAGCCAAATGAATGTGGATGTGATGTGGGTATTCTTCAGCCTCCAAGAGGTGTCTTGAAATTTGCTATCCTAAGTGTGATATGTTTTACGTCTAACAATGGCAGTAACTGATTTCTTCACTCAAACTTGGGCTTGTAGAAGAACCTTGAGTAACAGTCTTGACATAGGCTGCCTTTGTGCACATGAAATTCAAAGGTAGAGATTGATGCAGCTGCAGGGCACTTCCTCTAACGGATTGGTAGATCAGGAGCTCATGAGACACATCTGTTTTAACTTGCTGACCTCTGAGGTACAGAGGAAGGATTCTGATTAAAGGAACCTTTTGTCTCTGTCCTTACTCTTCAAAATAACCCCGTGTTAAATGTGTTCTGTCAAAAAGCATGGACAAGCATAATTTCTTAATTTTGCTCTACTAGATTTTATGCCTTCTCAGCAGCTTTCCCAGATGAATTATTTAGGCTTGAATTGAATCCTCAAGGACAGAGCTGCTCGTGCAGCTTCTATTCTGATATTTCAAGTATTTGTATGAAGTCTTGGAGTTAAATGTGTAGCTGAATACTTCTTTTGGAGTTGGAAGTGAAACTTCAGTGCTGTCTCAGTATGACATTGCTCTTATTGTGTTTCTTGTTCAAACTTTTTAATAATATTTCCTCCATTTTTTTTTTTGTACACTTTGTTACTGACACTTTGTCTATGGGTCAGCAAAGACTGGGCAGAGTACTCCAGTTTCCAGAGCTTTATGTTCCCTTTTTTTGTTCCAGATTTTTTTTTTCCAAATAACAAATTAAATATGCTTTAATTGAAAAGAAAGGATGGATCAAGTGCAGTTCCAAGGTGCAGGTGCCTATAGAGTAACCATAATGGGAAAAATGAATAGTCTGTTGGTGCTTCTCTGTGCTGTCTCATTTGCAGTGATTATTCCAAATCTCTGTTCTTCTACTGCTTAGGCACTGCTTACTGCTTTTGTAAATTTGCGAAAATGTTCATGTACAAGCATCAAGGTTGCATTCTCTTGGTTAATTGCTCATCATTTAATGCTCACCTGCTTTTGATTGGCATGTTGCTGAACTCCTGTGGTCCAGTTGGAGCCCTGTAAGAGAGAGGAAAGGAATGATTTTCCTGCCATCCTCAAGGCTCTAACTGATGTTGGTAACCTTTGGTGGTTGGGTAGATGTCCAAGGCCTTTCTGTATAATTGTGAGCTTGGGCCATGAAAGGTAAGAAGACCATGAATGTGCTATGGAAAGTCATTTTTGTTTTCCGATCACTTGCATGATGTAGCAAGTTGCATATTACAAGTAGAAATTGAGATTTTTAGTTTTTTGGAAACATGCTTAATCATTTAGATTGGAAGTTTTAAAATGTTAAAAGAGCTGTCTGGTATTAGTGCTGTTTTCTTTGTCTCGCAGAATAACTTTTGCCATACAAGTAATATTTCACTAATAGCATTCTTCAGGGTGCTAGCATAGAATTAGGCCCAACTGCTATTTGAAGTGTTTAATAAAAAATAAGAACTTGTTGTTAGACCATGTCTATTTTGTGCTTAACTGTATCAGAGAAACAAATACCTTGGTAAAGTGTTTTGGAGGCTGCCAGAACACAGAAACTGGTAGTTTTTGTAGCAAGGCTTATTTGATTTGTACTAGTTGTTTTCTGGGCAAGATGATGCTGTGGTGGTTCTGCTTTGGAACAGAGCAGTCAAAAGCTTGTAAGCTTGTGGAAGAATCTGGGTGATGAGGTATGTGTACAACACAAGGCAATCTCTCTTTTTTCATCCTGTCAAGTGCCATGTGTGAGGTGGTTGACTCACATCCCACAGATAAAAGCTTGCTCTGCACCAGTAGTGATTGTGCAACTCTTCGCTGGAGTCACTTGCAGAAGCTTTTGCTGTTGGAGATGATGGGAAAAGGATGACATGGTTGTAGCCTCATTATCTGAGGCTGGGTTTAACCAGACCCCTGAAGTTTTGAACAGTTTTGCAGGTATTACATCCTCAGCAGCTGCTGTGCATGTAACAAACACAACCTCTTGTCTTTACTTACAGAATCGGGCCACTTTCAAATTTGACCCTGCAGATGAAGACAAAAGAAAGGTGAGTAAAATAGGCTGCTGAGCTGCATACCTCAATGTAGAAGTATAAAAGAGTAAAGGCAATCTCTTAACTTAGCTGCCATTGTGAAATGGTGCAAGCAGTGAATATAAAGTTATATTTTAATTTTTGCTTTTTCAGGCCAAGACACAGCCTAAGAGACATGACAACTACACATTCCCTTTTTGTTTTGTTTTGTTTTTTTTTTTCCCGTGAAAGACAAAGTCCCCAGTCTTGAATGAAAGTAGTTACAGAAACGCCTATAAATGATTTTGCTGTGTACGGATTTGAGATGAAGTGGAGGAATAAGGGTAGAGATGCTCTTCCATATCTACTGAGGTGAAATTTTGCAGTAGATTTTTCCATTTTATCTCTTCTCAGCAGGTCACGATATGACAGATGTATTTCTTGTCTATGCGAGATGCCTAAAGAACACTAGGGATTAAGATGAAGGGATAAGTACAGAAGAAAGCTATTAAGCTATTAAGCTGTAAGGAAGACAGGGTTGCACAAGCCTATTCTTCCACAGGTGGCTGTATTCAGTGAGGTGTGGTATGTGCATGTCAGGTGTCAAAACTGGGAAATGTGAATTGAGTTGTCCAGGTATGGTAGGGCTTAACACACCCCTTGGAATCTATCCACGGCCTCACATTTAAAGCTTTGACATGTTTTTTTTTTTTTTCCTCTTGTTATTTTTAGGGTGTAATATATAATTACAAGCCCCTTCCTTTCTGTTGTGTAATTGACTTTGGGGCTGATTTACATATTTATTCAGAAAATGTTCATTAGTGATTGAGGCTGTATGTTTCTGCTATTTCTGGAATAAACTTAAAGCTTGAAATCAGAATTGCAAGGTTCCTACAAGGATAGCTTGTCTGAAATTGGGTACACATCGTTTCATTCCATGATCTTATGCTAAATCTGAATAATATAAGGTTTGTTTTTTTCTGGTAGAAATAGGTGGGATGATAAGTCTGGCAGTCTTTTGCAAACCCATCAGTTGTTTATAGTTTAATCTTCACTTGTAATTCCTTGTTACACAGAGGACTCAAAGACCTCTTAGCTTTGCTTTATCTATGACTTTACTCAAAGCTGACACTCAGTGATGTGGTGATGGACTCTGTGTGTCCTTTCTGATCTGTAGAAGAACTCAGCTGGGATCTGGACTTGATGTTCTTGCCTCTGTTCCCTCACCATCTCTACCGTCCCTTTATACATTGCAAATGAGCAAATGTCTTGTCTGAAAAATTGATTGCCAACTACAGAACACAGGAAAGGAGAAGAGAGCAGAAGCCAAATTGGCAAAAGCCAAATAAAGACAATGAGTTTGGAGAGGTGAATATAAGTTATATAGTATAAAGATTTTTTTTTTAAGCAACCCATGCACACTAGTGATGTGCTGAAAATACAAAAGATAGGCCAAAACTATGGCTTGACTAGAAGCTGGGTCAGTTGGACTGAGTAAATTGTTCTGCAGTGACATTACTATCAAAGTGTGATGCTTTTAGGCTATAACCTAACTAAATCAGCAGTGAATTTGTGATACTGAATTCCAGGAGGAAAGTAGGTTGTGTCCTCTAGAAGACAGGAAGAGAGGTAATGCTATCAAACTTGTCTATCTGGACATAGCCACAGGACTGTAATACATCAAAATTGTGATAAAAACACAAGATTGTAATATGAGCTGTCCTTGTATTTGTCCCAGTTGTTTGTTTAATGATGTATGTGTCTGCCTTGGCCTGTCTATGGTGAGTGTTCTGGATATAAATCACATGGCAGTCTGTGTTGTACTGGAAGATCCACTCAGATACCAGGCACTTCAGGTCACTGCCAGTCTTTCTTAACTTGTTATATACTAATAAAAACTATGAATTTCTGGAAGCCTGTTTTCATTTTGTGTGTAAACAGTATAGAAGTTGCCAACCAGAAGTAAATGTGTTCTGAAATAGCAGCTGAAATTAAGGCAGTGTTGTTGTTTCTGAGGAGCTTAATGAGCTCTTAGATATCTAAAATATTTGTTGACAGTCTTTTACTGGGAAAAGTTGAGTCTGCAAAACTTCAACCCTTCACAGCACCATGGCATGGTTGACACAAACAGTTGGTTCTTTAGGTCTGTTCTGGAATCCACTCCAGAAAAGTAGTATGTATTAACTTGACCAGGCAGTCACCTTGGAGAGAGTTGTCTGGTGCAGTGTCTCCCTCTCTGTAGCACAGCAGGTGCTTCAGCTCAAGCTCATGTCCTCGTACAAATAGAAAAGGGTTTTTTGGACCACTTGATCCTTATTTAATTGCTTTGCTTTCAATTATTTATACTTTGTTGCGGTCAAATACTGCTTCTGAAGCAGCAACACATTTGTGCTGTTTACAGACTTCAAATGGTAAGAAAATTACAGCACTGTTTGTGCCCTGGAAATGTCTCTCAGCACTGATTGCCTGATTGGTCATAGCATTCCATAGCTGGACGTTGCCACAGCACCATTTGCTGTGATATAACAGATGAAGTAGAACCTGCCCAAGATGGCAAGTAAGGCTTTTTAATTTGGATGAAGGTGCTGAGTTTGCAAGAGGAAGGGAAAAAAGGGAAGCAGTAGCCAGATGTAAGAATATGACTTACAAGCCATATTCTTACCTGACGTGACTGAACTATATCTTCTCCATACCTTTCTGTCTACTTCATCTTCTGTAGTACTTGCAGCATCTGGTTTCTGCTGTATTAGGCCCAGCTTACTGTTGGGTCTCTTAATAGAATCTTCAGAATTTGAGTCCAGTGTTCTTGAGTTATTGTCTAAGTTCACTTTGAACATGATGGCTCTAAAAATGAGTGGGAAGAAAATCATCAAAACAGTCTTTTTCCCTATCATCATTGAGTGTTTTCAAGGTGTTGAAATAGCTGGTGGTAAATCACATCAAATGTATTGTGGGGCTTTCTCTACCAGTTAAATTCATGATGTGGGAAGATTCTCTAAGTCTGTGGATAGTACCATATTTTAACTCTGGAAAGCTGGAAAGAATGAAGTATGTTGATGGAGCAAGATGCTGTCACGCTGTAAATTGTAGAAGAACCTCATTCTTAGACAGTCCTGTTGCTTCAGGGAGGTCTGAAGGTTCCTGCAGCCACCAAGGCACAGTTTTTCTCTTCCCAGTAAATTTGGGGCAAGCTTTTGTGTACTGTAAAAATATTAAGCTCTAGTTCTTCTGTGGGCACTCTGTGTGGTATCTTAGTATTAGTTGCTGTTGTTACTGTTCTGACTTCACCAAAACCCCTTAAGGGAGTACCAGTCTGTAAGAGGAAAAAAGTGCTAAGTATCCTTCATTAATACTGAACATTCGTTCTGATTCCCTCTGGTCCTGTCCATTCCCATCTAGCATTTTTCAGCTTTTACTGAAACCTCTAAAGGTTCATAAAACCCATCTCTGCTTTTAACATCCTTCTTTCACCATGGGATTACAGAAGATAAAAGGGTTCTCCCTCTCCCTGTCCAGTGAGGTGAGCAGGGGCTGCTGCAAGTGCAGCTACACAGGGTTTCACCTTTCTGTGACTCTGAAGCAAGTGTTTAATCCACTAGTTCTGACAACAGGCATTGCTCAGTGTGCTCCTCACCTCACCTGCAGAATTGTCCTGCTCTCACATGTTCAAACCTTCAGCTTGGAGCTGTGCCATGTCAAAGCTGGCAGGCTCCTGATGAACAGCCAGCCTCCCCCTGTCAGTGTGGGCTCAACCATGAAGTGCTCAAAATAAAGCAGGCTGAATGCTCAGGAATGCAAGTATACACCGTCCCTCCCTACCCACATCTATCCACAAAGACTAGGCAAAAATTTGGCATAGCCTTCTCGGGGAGGTTATCTCATTGTCCTGTTATTCAGCACACTTGATGATACATATTATGTTAATGTTACCTTGACTTCCAGAGAAATGAAAGTTGTAACTAACATTTCAAATATTCTTGGGCTTCATGCTTAGCTCTGGAACCTAATAGATACTTCAACACAGAAACTGAAGAGTTGTGCTCTCTTTTCCTTCCCCTCCCTTCCCCCCAGCCTGATCAGCCTGTGAATAAAGATAGTGGAAGATAATGGAAGTAAAGAAATTATATTGGCCCAAAGCCACACAGCAGGTCTGTGGCTGAGCAAGGGAGAGAACACAGGTCTCTTGTATCTCAGGAGAGGTTTTTTTCTATTGGGCTGTGTTGCTTCTTAGCATCAAGACTTTATGCTGTCAAGATGAAGGACCAAAATGGGTTAATAGTTAATTTGTCAAGATGACAAATGGGTTTTTCTGGCCTTCCTGTTCTAACACAAGATTTAACACTACAGCATAGACAAAAGGAATGGTGTGTGTTGTTCTATCTTACTATCTATCTTACTATTAGCAAAAGCTGAGAAATCTTGAATTTCAGAGAAATAAATGGATTTTACAATAAAAAGTTAAAACTGGAAACTGCCTTGAGTCTGTGAAAAAGTATATTAAAAACACTGCTTGCTGTAGCAGTTAATGAAAGGTTGGTGAAGGTCAAAATGTTATCTGGATCTTGAAAGTCAAAATGTTACATGATTTTATTGTTTTGATTCTACAAAGGACAGAAGTATTAGAATCCAAACAAAGAAATGTTAAAAACTTGCAGTGACCTAAGGGTAGCAACAAAGCCACTGAAACTGGAACAATCATCTGTTGTAGAAGGGGAAGTACCTTCCTGTCTGAATTTTCACTTGCTTTCATTTCCAACCACATAAATGAAATCTATGCCCCTTAGTTTATGCCATACTAATGGCCTACAGGGTGGTGGAAAGACCACCACCTAAAGAAAATTAAAATCATAATAGTGTTGTGGTCACGTCTCTTCCTGTTTCTCTTCTCTGTGCATCACTTCCCTTGTACCACAACAAGGCCACAACAGAAAATGTGCTGTATGGCATTTGGTTTTAATTGTCTCCAAGGCAATTTTCTAGTAGGGTTAATCTTTCCATGGATAGTTCTGCCATTATAATCAGATACTCTAGCTTTTCCTGAGCTGATGATGGCTCTTGGGATCAGCCAGCAGTAGTTCACTGTCACAGATATCCTAACTGATTGCTGACTCCTCTAAAATCACTCTTGATGGCTCACTGGGTCTTAACGCCAGAGAACTTTGTAAGCAGCTAAGTTGTAAGCAGGTTGCTAAATCTTAAAGAAAAAAAAATTCTATTTAATATCTATATTTAGTTCAACTATTCAGAGTTGAGACTCTTCTGCTGCTGTGTTTCACTAGGATTTGAAGCCAAGAGATGATTTTATATTTTTTAATTAAGTTGCATGTTATTTACTGTATGGAAGGAAGGTTAGTCTTCCACCTCTCATAGCAAGTCAGCAGGAGGTTGGTGCCCTTTGGGATCCTTCCTGCAGTACTTTTGACATTTTGCAGTGACACTTTGATAGCAGCAGGTGGGTAAAACTTTATGAAGAAAAAAAAAAGTCAGGAATTTGAGTGGCTTGGTATCTTTGTAAATTGTTACAGATCACTTTGTAGCAGCTATTACCAACAAGGGAGACAGTAACTGCTAAGTCTAGTTGAAAAGTGCATAAACACAGAATAAACTAACATTTTTCTGAAGTTCTGTGAACTGTCCATTCAGTTGTGTGTTATTCCTCAAAACTAAATAGACTGTACGTTTCAGCTTGCAAAGCAGAGTTAATCGTGTGGAAAACTCAGCAATAGAAAGGTAAGAAAAAAGTCGAGCTGTGACTAATTTGACTGCGGATCTAGAGTGATGATTTTTTTTGTTTTGGGCATTTTTAAAAACACTTCAAAAATGCCACTTTCAGGTGCATTAGTCCAAGTCTAGCATACCATGCTTAAGTCAGGAAGTCGTGCAGATCTGTGTGAGCAGCATTAGGTTAGTGGTGAAGAACTCTGAGGACTCTGTACTTGAATATCTTTTTCCAGCCACAGTAAGTACCTATATGCCTGCACAGATGGTCACATGTGGGGGTTTTAATGTTGTAGTGTCTCTAATATTCTGATAAAGCTTTCTCATGTTGCCTATGTGATAAGAGGTGGGGCTCATTCCTTGTTTTCAAACGCTTACTGGATTAGTCTAGTCAGGGCTGTGGAAGTGCAGTCAAGATCTTGATTGTCAGGGTGGTGCTTTTGGATAGGCTTAACCTCAGGACAAGTATACTAGAAATCATATTATGAGTTCCTACTGTTTGTGATTGTGTACAGATTTTCTTTAGCATTGCTGAAGTTAAAAGAAATGTTTTCTCCCATATTCTTCTGGTGTGTTTATTCTAGATGTGCTGTAGACTTAATGTTTGTTATTTCATAATTTTTGCTTTAATTGTCAGTTATCACAGTAATAATATGGTTTATCTGTCCCAAGTGGAACCTTTGTTTTGAACTTCATGTCAGGGTCATGGACTTCTGTACTCCTCACCTTTTCATTGTGGTGATGGTGAAAAGTGGAATTCCAGAGATCATTCCCCAAGAACCATTTTATACTTTACTAGCATTCCTATGCTTTTTGTAATCACTTTCTTGATGCAGACTGCCTGAGATCACAATATGAATTTTGGGTCCTAAGTAGACTTCTGCACTATGGCTCTTCCACTCAGTGACTGCTCTGCTTCTTTGGTAATTTATTCATATTGGTGGTAAAGACACCAAACTGGGGAGGAGAGAACCATGGAGGAACTGTGTCCTAGGAGGTACAGTGCAGTTTCTATTGTATTGGGAACTTCTTTATGACTATACTTCTGACTAAAGAACTCTTGAGCGTAAGGCATAAAAACCCATTTGAGTCCTCTCACATCAAGCAGTCTCTTCTGGCCTACCTTTTCTCCTGTTTGATTGATTGGTTGTCCATTTCTATCTTATAAAAGGTAATACTGCCATAATTCAGATGTTACAGTTCTGACCTGCAGATTATTGGAGTGTTGTATTTTCTCATGCTGCATTTATGTGATTTTTTTTACCCCTGCAGTCCTGTTGGTATAAGGAATCCTTGAACTATTTTGACATCAAGAACAATCTGTGTTGATAAAGCAGCAGCTTTGCTGGTTTGGTAAAACTGCTACAGTCTGCCTTCAAGTAAAATTGCATTATGTTTCTGTGTCAGAGGTCTTATTTCTGAGAGTCATACTTAAAATGGGAGAAGTCTGTCAATAAGGTTGAAGTGGCCACACAAATTATAGCTGTTACCAAACATGGAGTACTAATCCTTGTATGTGAAGTAGCAGTTATTTTGGTTTCTGTTTCTCCCAGCCTCCTGACTGAAACAACCTTAACTTAAAATTCTGCAGGTGCTGTAGGTGTGACTATTGTACTTTGGCATGTTTTTAAAAGCTTTCACTTCTCTCTAGCTTTGTTATTCTTCTGGAGTTTTTATTCCTGATACTGTAACTGGCAGTGGTGGGTAACAGATGTCATTTTGGCGTAATGCTTTTGCAAATGTTGATGTATTTGGATTGTGTCCATAAGAAAAGCTGTTTTTGCTGCTCTCTGGAGGCCTTTGGTAACAATTCATATTTTGCAGTGCTAATATGGAATACCTAGTTTCTCAAGTCGGATAAAACCTCAAAATTTATATGGAAGCTTAGCTAATTGCCACCAATATTTTGATACTAAAACTGTTCCCTTTTTCTTTGTTGTGTTTGCCTAGAAACTGTGTGAGGGAATTCTAAACATCCTTGAAAAAGACACAAAAACTTCATGTCAAGTTGCCTGCCTGGAGGCCCTCCGGATTCTCTCCAGGGACAAGAAAGTTTTAGTGCCTGTAACCACAAAGAGGAACATGCAGATCCTTATGAAGCTAGCAAAGCTGGACACTGTGGAAGATCCTCTGGAGAGAGTATCTGAATTTCCTGTGATAGTAGAAGCCTTAAAATGCCTCTGTAACATAATTTTTAATAGTTCAGTTGCACAGAAGCTCAGTTTGGAACTGAATCTTGCAGCGATGCTCTGCAATCTTCTGCAGAAATGTAAGGACCGGCAGCTGGTTGATGACATTAAATGCTTTGATTTGCGTCTCCTCTTCCTCTTGTCACTTCTGCACACAGATATTAGAGCACAGCTGCGTCAGGAGCTGCAAGGGGTGCAGGTTTTGACTCAGGCTTTGGAGAGTTCCCTGAGTGTAAGATGGACAGAAGAATATAAAGCAGCAGAAGATCGTGACAGGCCTCCTCTATCTTTGCAAGAGACAGATTGTGCCATTGAGGCATTAAAGGCTCTATTTAATGTAACACTTGACAGTTGGAATGTCCACAGCAAGGTAAGGCTTAGCTCAAGTGCTTTTTTCAATTGATTTTGTTTAGCCTGCAAGAACCAGCGGGTGGATACAGAGGAGGCAGTTGTTGTTCTTGTTACTACTTGGGCAGAAAAATCTTATCCATACATTTTCTGTGTAATGGGAGAACAGCTTGGCATGCCTACAGCAAGTTAAAACTATATGTTTTTGAATACAAAAATGCAAAAAATACTATTTCATAAAAGTCTTAGATTTCCAAAAGAAATGTTGTTCACTAATAAATGTTCATGTTCCACATGGCTAGGAAAAACTTCTTTTTCTAAGTGTAATGGCTGCATCTCTGGAGGTTCTGGACTATGGCAATAGGGCAGTAGAGCTGAGAAGGCTCCCTGGTTTTTGTCTGTTGCATGATAAGTACATCAACTATCATTTTTAACAAATAACTCTGATGGAGTGCTGCTGTTGTTAGTATCTTTGTCCCATCCTCCCAACACCAGCTTTGGACTTAAACATGGTCTTTTAATATGACATCAAGTACAAATACACTTTCATTGTTATGTCTTATGAGTAAGATTTATCTTGGTTTGTTTTTGTTATTAAGTCAGATCTTTTTTTTTCCTTAGATAAATATGCTTCCTATGTGTTGCATCCTTAAATTTATAAGCAGAAATTACAAGAGTAACTTTGCTGAATAACCTGAGTCTGTGCTAGAGCGGGAGAATTATATAGGGAACCTTTCTTTTTTAGTCCACATCATAGTCTCTAGAACAGTGTTATTTACTTTCCACTGGACATGGTAAATATGCAGCATATAAAGCTGATCAAAATTGTACAGTACTTAAAACTTGCAAATAGTTGTTCTCTTTAGTGCATTGAACTAAACAGCAAATCAGACATTAATTATAACTTAAAGGAATGTAAAACTTGAGCAAAGTTGGAACTTTATTCTTTGTTTTAATGTCTCAAGGAAATGCTGAATAAGAAATCCTGAAATTTAAGATGAAATGTTGGAGGAGTCAGAGAAGCTAATATTTGAATTTCAAGGAAATATAAAGAAAGTGAGCTTTCTTTCTTCTGTTTATGTTCCTGACTTGGACCTTTATTAAAAGTATATTTAACTTTGCCAAAGTTCTTTGTATAGACAAGTGATTGTTCTGGAGGTAAAAAAGCATGTAACACAGTTATACGGAAAGTTGGAAAAAGAAACTGTATTACATGTTCACCTCTTGAGAGGTAAGCTCTTGCTATCTGGAAGTTGGTTTACTTACAAAATACTGAATCTGGAGAGATGTAAAGCCCTGCTCACTGTCTTTTCCTCTTTAATATCCCAAGTGTGCATGCAGCCTTTTTTTTTTAATGAGAGTTTAAGACATCTTAGGGCAGGAGAAGCTTATGTGCATTTTGAGATAAAGCTTAGATAACTCTTTACTAGGAATCCATGAAAACAGAGAACTTTTAAATTAAAGAACTTTTTAGTGGCTGTTAGCAAGATGACATTCTGCTTAGTGAATATTCCAGTGGCAATTTTAATGGTCTGGGAGAAGAATGAAAGGCGTGTTAATGAAGTGGGCTGAAGATGCAGAATTTGAAGAGATTCCAAAGAGCACAACACATGGAAAATAAAAGGACAGCAGAGAGGTTGGGCATGTGGGTGGAAAGCTAAACAAGCTTCATCCTTAATGACTGGAGATGGTTTCAAAGTAACAAAGCCAGACAAGAGCTGCAGGTGGTACAGTTGGCAGATTTGGATGCTGATGCTACAAAAGATGCATTGGGTGCTTTGTGCCAGGTCAAACACTCCAGCACATGTGATAGGTGCCAAGAAGAGCTGTTGAAAAAGGGCGAGGACAATGATACACAGTTAAATGGTTGCAGTTACTGATGTACTTTTGTGTGGTTGCAGTCTGGTGGGAGATTGGAAGGGGGGATTGCTTGGAGAGAGGAACAGGTAAGGCAAGTGAGGTTGCTGAGAAGTTATTAATGGAATGGAGGAAAGGTATCAAGGGAGCAGAAACAAGGGAATTAGAAAAAGAGACGGACTGGATGGAAGGAATGAAACTTGGCAGCAAAAGGCCTAAATGAGGAGAGGACAAGTTAAATGAAGAATATGCATAATCTAAATGGATGAAGCAGTGGCATGGTATAAATACAAGAAGGAAGAGAGTGGTATGTTAGGAATAGTGGTATGGAATTGAGCAATCACTTGTAACTGGGTTTTCTAGTAATGAAGGCTGATTTAACTGGAAAAAACTCCCCAGTGAGTTTTACAAGCCTGGTTCAAAGTCAGCTTATGAAAGTTATGTAGCATTAAGCATTCAGTGAACACTAAGGTACAGTCCTTTTATTGATAGGGATGGATGTTATGATCTAATAGGTATTTTCCATCTTTAACTTTTATTATTCTAGTGACCTGAAACCCTCACTTGCAATCTTCAAAATGAAAAAATATCTTCATAATTTATATTTATATAGAATGAATCTCATCAATTTCGTTACATGGCTGCCATCCTTCGACACTGCTTATTAACCACGGGCCCTACTGAAGAAAAAACTGAAGAGTTGCACAGGTTGGTAGAATTGCAGAACCAGTCTATGTTAAAAGGTTTTTGTTAGGTTGGTTTTCCTAAAGAGAAATTACTTTGCCTAAAATCTAAAGTGGAAATCTGAGAAACAATGAAAACTTAATTTGAGTTAATATTGTTAATATTTTTTGATGAAAGCTGTTTTCCTCAAATATTGTTTAAACATATCCAGTTTTCCAGAGAGAAGGTGGCTGGCAAGATTGTTATTTTCTATCACTGATAATGAAGCTTGCCTTTTTTAAATTTTGTTTTTATGTTCATACGTGTGTATCTGAGGATGAAAATACATATGGAAGTTCTAAGTGTAGTTCAAATTGAAGTGGAATGCAGCTTCTGTTGTTTTGCACAGAAGCTGATGGAAACACTACATTTTGAGATTTCTATATATAAGTTTTGCATTTCTGATGGATTGGGATGGAAGTAATAAGCTGATATGTTATCCCAATAGTTCTAGGCTGCTGTATTGGATGTACCAATGATTTTCCTTGGTAATTTTTTTTTTCAAGGACAAGTGAATCCTACAGTTTTAGGCGTGTGGGTTTGTTATCTATTGGCATATTGGCAGCCAGTAATTCAATCAAAATTCAGATTATGTGTGGTGGAGTGGTGGTTCTTTGTTTAGTGTTACTGTTCCTTCTCTATAACACCCTTATTTTTACCAAGTAGGTTAGCTGTTCACTGGGCCTGACAATACAGTAGCTTCCCTCAGCACTGAAATGTTGCCATTTTCTTTTTCAGTGATGTCTGTATATCTAACTATAGGATCTTTTGAAGGTCTTCTGAACCAGTCTCTAGGAAGAAGGATACAGCTTTTCACACCCAGCAATCTTGAAAGTGTTAAATGACCCTGACTAAAATCTTGGAAAGCTCTTAGAGATAAACAGTTTTGGGAGGTGAACACTAAAATCCTGCATCAGAGCCCTTCTCAGTTGGTGCAGACTAGTTTGGAATAATTTAGGATACTGCTGCAGTAGTTGCCATGACTGAATGAGTTCTGTATCCTAAAGGGCACTTAATATTTTCTCTTTGCTGCTGCTTATGGTAGCTGCTTTGTGCTCTCAGCCCCTTTAAGGGAAGGACTGCCAGGAATAAAATCCCTATTGCTGGGTGAATTTTAACAGTTTTGGATAAAATCGACAATTACGAGGGAGTTGCAAGAATTGTTATATAGCTGATGGTCTTCCCAAGATCTGTTTCCTTGTCCAGAAATCTGACTAGTCTGATCACCCTGTTAAATATATTGCTCTTTAAAATTTAATTGTTTTGTGCTATTGCAAAAGGATGCAAGTTATGCAGGTCCTTTTGCAAACACTTGCAGCTGAGATCCAGAAAGCACTTCACATAAAGAAGTAGGCAGCTGTGAAGATGATGTAGTGTTGGTGTGATTTGTCCTTGCTTTTTTCAGTCACAAGGGAGATGTTTTGTAGCTGTGCTGCCCACATGGGCCTTATGGAGACACCAAGTCAAAGCAAAGGCTTGCCATAATTCTGAGAGGGAGGACACACATCATTGCCTTGTATCACTTCAGCTGATCCCCCTTCTCCTGCAGATTCAGTGTAGCACTGCATCACTCTTTCTGCTGTGTTGAGAAAACAACTTTGTCCCTCAGTAGCGAACTGTAGCTGGTTAAGTTAGCTGAAGAGTAAAGAATGCAAATACAGCATCGCTGCTTATGGCATTTGATCTTGATTTACGTGCTACAAGAGCGCAGTGCAGAATTTGACTGCTGTGATTCAAATATTTCAGCCTTTGCTGAACCTGAGTTTTGTCTTTGACTGCTACAAGGATGAAATAAAAGGTGAATAATTGAATGCACTTTTCCGCTAAGACTGTTCATCACAAGGCAACTCTGGAATGGAAAAGCTGTACTCAGAAGTAATGCCCCTGCAAATCCTTAAAGGGATTGGGGCCTGCATCAGAGGGCCCCACTTCAGTTGGCTGTTCTATTTGGACAAGCAAAACTTAATTCCTAATAGGAACTGCACTAACGAATAAGTGAACTGTTGTCAGCAGTCTACAGCTAAAAAAGAGAGGCTGTGTCATCATTTGGGCTATTCAGCATGCTGGACTCTGACCATGCAGTCTCTATTGCTAGAGATGAGGTGTGAGAGAGCGGATCACAATTTCCAGCTCTGCTTTCCTCCTGGAGCCTATCAGTAAAGCAATTATGAAAACTGTGTTAAAAATAAAATACAAACAGTGGTGGATGCAGAATAAACTTTATGAAGCGTAAAGGAGATATAAATATTTTTCTGAAGATTGCCGGTCACTTGCACTTCCCTGAGTTTGTAAATCTGCAGAACCTAAGATGCTTCAGTGAAAGGTTTGGGCAGCCTGTTAAAGCTGTTTGAATGCCTGTGCTCTGAATGTGTAAGTTGAGGATTTATTTTAGGTGAACACTGAGTGTTGGATATGTGCCCTGACCGATGATGTACTGATTGTCAGTGTGACTATTTCTAATAAAAAAGCAGAAGTTAGACATAAAAATATCTTAACTATTTCAGTACTCAGTATTGTCACTGTGGTTCTGTTGCGTCATTACTTAATGCTTGAATATGAACAAGTTAAAGTACCACATGTTAGAGTGAGTGTCATTTTTGCTCACTAACAAGGTCTTAATCAAGGCATTCACTGGCTCTAAATAGGCCTTTGCTTCTCAATTTGCATATCAGGAGGGGGCTGGGAGCATGAGTGGGTGGATGTCATGTCCCAGTGATTAATGATCTCTAGGAAGCCGAAAAGGGGAGAGTAATATACGCAGTATTTCTACCCCCTGGAGTAGGAATGCAAACACTATTGTGCATATCTGTGCATAGTCACTGACTTCCTGGTAGCTGGAGAATTTCATACACTCCTCTGCCACAAATAAAACTGTCAGTGGAGTGACAAAGATCAGAAAGCCGGGCTTCATTTATTGAAAAGAATAGCTCAGGCACAGTGATCCAGAAAATTAATTTTGTAGGTGTTTGGGAACTTGGTTGTTTAATAAGAAACTGGTAAAAAGAGAACTTTTGATGAAAGCCTGAAGCCACCAAATATTTGTTGAATTTCTTCTTGTTTTGTTTCTGACTATTCCTGAATTATTGGAGAGGAATAACTTCCGTGGCACAAAAGACATATCTTGAACAGGATTTAGAAACAAAACAAAGAGAACAAGCGTTTCCAAAAGTAATAGTGGTCTGAATTTCAATTACTAAAAGAGTAAAAAGGAGATGGCACAGTGTGGAACAGCCACCCAGTCTGATCAAACCAGAACCAGCACATTTGCTAGAAATCCTGTTATGGTCTGATGGCCATGGTTTGGTTTCTCTTTGCTAATTCTTTGTTAGAATTGTATTGATAACTTAGAAACAGAGGGCATCTTCTAAGTACATATTATTAAAACTCACAAATGAAGTTGTTTGAAAAGTTTTTTCCATTCTTGGAACACTTCACCAGTCCTTGAAACATCAGTGCTCGTTGCTTCATTGATAGCTTTGAGGTCTGCATGGTTAAACCGGAATAGTTTTGTGCCATTTCTAAATACATCCATTTATAAGTTTAGTTGGACATCAGCAAGTAAATAGTGACAGAATTCTAATTTTTGCAGCATCTGCGTAATTTCTCCCAGTGTTCAGGAACAGTAAAAGCCCAAGTCTGTACAGTGAGAACAGGGTAGATAGCAAACTCAAGGCATGTGTACCCTGCAAGAAACCCTTGCAAAATAAGTCTCACCTTACTCCAGTAAAGAGGAGGGAGGGACCCTGTGGTCTAACTGAAGTCACTTAATGGCTCTTCGGAAACGCTCCTCTTTGTGTTGTAGAACGAGAACACTGCCAGTTACTGAAGGGTAGTGCTTGGTAAATAAACCTGAGTCTTTCTTTAATGTGTTAAAAGCCTTCTGTATTTCATATATACTGCAAACTAAATCAAAATGACAGTACTTCAGGGGACGTAAGAAATGGCCACTTTGCCTGCCTGTTACAGCAGGAGGAAATGTCCTTGTTGTATTCTGCCACACTAATGTTGGTAATGTGGATGTGTGGTAAAATGTTTTAAGTTTCAAGGAGGAAAAAACTGACTACTGCAAATCAATGCGAGAGTTCCCCCTGCTGTCCTGTAAGATGAGCTGCTGTAGCATGCTGCTGGAAGCTGTGCCTTATCCACGGGATGGGATACTGTGGAGGCTGGAAGTAATCCTGCACTGCTGCTTTTGGAACTTTTTGTTTTTCTTTTTCCTTGTCTGTTCTAAGAGCCAGCACTCAGGCGATAATGCAGGCCACCTTCTTTAAAACGCAGAGGAGAAAATAAAGCATTGTTTGAGTTGTAGGGCCTCTTTTTGATTGCAGTTGTACAAGCAGTTTATGGTGAGTTGTATTCTGTTTTTTCTTCCAAATGAATAATGAATTTTTAAAATCTGTTTCAGCAATGCAATCAACCTCTTAAGCAATGTTCCTGTTTCTTGCTTGGATGTCCTTATTAATCCATCATCCCAAGAGGAAACAGATATAAAATACAATGGTATGAATATGGGAGCTATTCAGATTTTACTGGATTTCATGGAGAAGAGGATAGACAAGGTATGGACTGCAGAGGTTTTTCACAAAAGGGGTCTCTTTCACTAAAGCAAAAATTGCACATATATCAAATTTTGTATAAATCTTTCAGCCAGTACTTAGCACAAACATGGATGTCCTACTAAACTGTGAAACACCTCAAAATAAAGAACAAATTCCTGTGAATATCTGAAGCTATTTGCTGTGAGTCTGAGGGTGAACATTTGGCTCTTTATGTAAAGTTCATATTTTGGCTATCATATAGAACTTTATTGAAGTATTCATCGAATTTGAAAATGAAAGTAGGCTCTTAAAATGTTTTATTTGTATTTGGTTTTATTTTAGGGAAGCAGCTATAGAGAAGGTCTGACTCCAGTTCTCAGTTTATTAACTGAATGCTGCCGAACTCACAGGAATATCAGGAAGTTTATCAAAGCTCAGGTAAGTAAAATATTCATCAAAATTTGAATATGAAGCTAATGATGAACTTTGAGGTTTGTACATCACTGCAGGACAGTGCTGTAGAAATAATTTTTCTGTAAATCATGTAAATCAATAGATATTATGGCCTGAGTTCCATGATACATTCTGTAGAGCTGTTAAGTAATAACATCAGGGATATTGTAAAGCTGTGTTAATGTGAGTCACTGTGGATTGAGTGAGATGGGTAAAAAACTCGGTAAGGTTTGTTTCCTTACACTCAACAAATAAGAAACATTTCAGTGCAGTTAATTAAACTTTGCAGATCTGTGTGGTGGCCAGTGAGAGTACAGGTGTTTTGATGGGTTCTGCTTGAAGTTTAGTTTTACCTCAGCAGGAAGGAATTTTTGGTATTAAGATTTGTGTACCAGTGTGTCAGAGTAAAAGTGTCCCTGGACAGAGGCACACTTCATGATTTTGTCTCTTAAAAGAGCTCTTTATTACAGTGTGGGCTGTGGCTTTTAACAGGGAAAAGGATTTCTGGTTCAAGAGCTAAAGGATCTGTGTAGCTTGGTGGTTGAGCGTGGTGTTTTCTATTCATTTTGCTGCTTTTCCTGAGGTCAAACAGAAAGAAGTTAAAAGATGAGCAAGAGAAAGAAATTGTTCCTCTGGTTTCTGCTGTCCTTCTCCTAAGCTGCAGTGACTTTTAAGTTGCATCCTAGATGCTGCTCCCAGATCAAAGCTGTGCCTGAATTAATAAATGGAATTTAAAATTAAAAAGGGCATATATTTTCTGCCTCTTTCATCTATATCAGAAAAATGTTTTTGAGGAATTTGAGGAACTTGTTCTTGTTTGTTTGCTTTTCTTCACAGCAGTTAGTTTTTAGGATACTTTGCTGATCTGTTAACTTGAAAAAAAAAAGTTGCAGAGCCAAGTGTTCAGAAGCTAGAAAATGAAGTTGTCTGCATGTTTTTACGACATCTGGGCATCTCGATGTCAGGATATAATTGCATGCTGACTCCTGCCACAGGACCACTGCCTCATATAGTGCAGAGAATGGATGGATGTTGCTAACTGCATGACTGGATGTTTGATATTTTGAATTACCCTCATTGTTAAGTGCTAGCCTTGGGCTTTATTTATTGTGTGCTATTCAAATTGTGATCTGAAGACAGGATGATTGATTTCCTCATGGACTGTCCTATGGCACTCATCACTGTATTAGTATTAGAGTACTCTAAAAACATTAATTCTTTCTTACAACACACTGGGAAATGGCAGTCATGGTACTATCCCCATTGGGGGGAGTAAGCAGGGACAAAGTAAAATATTTTGCTAATTGTTTGAATACTTGGTTTGAAAAAGACAGGGTCTGTTTTATCCAAAGCAGTCAATACTGTAGCATTCATGTAAGGATCAGTTCCCAGTGAGTCCAATTTCAGTAGTAATTGTGCTTTAATTTTGCACAGAACATGACTCTTTACATTAGATACCTAGAAGACAAAGGACTTGTAATTTGTTATGATGGTAACATACTTTTTTTATTCCCTAATGAAATATTGAAGATCCATAATTCTTACTAGAGTCTTCAGATCATTAAATATTTCATATTATGGCCCAAAGTTGTTTGCAGATCATATCATATATCCTTTGAACATGAAAAAATTTGCATAGATATTGACTCTGAAGGCATCCACACAAGGAGGCACAAGTTAGTTTGCCAAAAAAGCCACCATTTGTGTACTACCTGGCTTTCTTGAGGAAGTTAACAATATTAATGACCTCTAATGGGAAAATAGTGTGTTTGAGGAAATGTTAAATAGTGATTTCTCAAAAATATTTCTGAAATTTAGCTGGAGATTTAAAAATTGTTTTCTGGTTGAAATATGCATTTCCTCTATATGTAGAGCCCATTTTTGAAATTTAGTAGTATAAACTTGTAGTAGAACTTGCAATGTACTTATTTTCCTGCTTTTTCATTTAGCACATTATTCTTCTATATCAACTACATAGCATTTTAAGAGTGTAAGTTTCCTTAAACTGGTATTTCTAATACTTTTTCAAGATACCTGAGCAAAACAGAAGAAACCGAGAGCATGAAGTTATGGCTGCCTGATGACCAACTCTCCTGGGACACCCATTTGTGCTCATAAACTCCTAATAATTGCATTTTTTAAATCTACATTTGAGACTTAGTGTATTTCTGCCCAAAATGACAGACCAGAAAAATCACGTATATTAAGAAGTAAGAGTCACTACTAATGCATGTGGGCATAGTTGTCTGATTTTATTGCCTTTTTTTTTTTTGAAGGACAGAGTATTTTTTTTTTGTTCTGTTGACGACATTTATTTTTGGAAATATTGGTTTTGCAAGGTATTTCCATGCATTTTATGCTGTTCTTCCCTTTCTTTTGTGCTGCCAGGTACTGCCTCCACTAAGAGATGTCTCAAACCGTCCTGAAGTTGGTACAACAGTGAGGAACAAACTCGTGCGCCTTATGACACACGTAGACCTTGGAGTAAAGCAAATTGCAGCAGAATTTCTTTTTGTTCTTTGTAAAGAGAGAGGTAAAAATTACTTTTTCTTCTCCTTTTGTATAGGGTCTTGCTGTAATTGGTGTATTTACCTCTTGCTGTAACTCTCAATTCTTGTAGTACTCTAGTGGGATTTGTTTTGTAGCTGATTGCAGCTGAATAATTTTCTGTATCCTCTTTGCAGTTGATAGCTTGTTGAAATACACAGGCTATGGTAATGCAGCAGGATTGCTGGCAGCCAGGGGCCTGCTAGCTGGAGGAAGAGGAGATCATTGGTACTCAGATGATGAAGATACAGACACAGAAGAATACAAATCTGCAAAGCCAAAGTATAGTATTGTTTTCAATTTCTCATATCCTGTTGCGTTTTGGATTCTTTTGACATAATTTTTGGGGGGTTTTACCTTTTTCAGAGAGGCCAGTTTTTGAATGATATATGCTTATATTAACTCCTGTCTTCTGCTCATTTCATGGTCTAATTATTGAGAAATCAGCCTCTAATAGTGACCATTATGTAGTCAGATATGGTTGCAGGGGAAAAAATGTTACTATGAGAATGATTTAATATCTGAATAACTCTTAAAATTCAAGTGTGGAAACAGATTTTTAAGGAAGTGATAGGAAAAAAATTTAGTAGCAAACTTAGCAAGGATGGGTTTTGTCCCAGATTTTTGAGGAACTCATATGACGTTTGCCAAGCTGCTAACTATTGTTTGTGGAGTGTATCTCTGTAACGGAGAAAGTAATGGTGTCAGATATGGCTAAAGCTTTTAGCCAGAACTTTGTTTAAAAGGAGAAAGCCAGTAGGTTTAGTTTCAGTTTTGATTGAGTTTCAGATTGCCTGGTACTAAAATTTTCCTAAAGAACCAAGCAGGTCACATAGGTAAATATGGAAGGAGCAAAATCTATAGAAGTCATGTAGCAGGAATCTCATATATTTGTTTGAAGGATTCACTGGCCACGTAGAAGTTTGTTGATTTTTATTAGTTTTATTTGATTGGGTGTTAGAGGTTTTAGTTTGTCGTGTTGCATCTAAGATTTGATGCCATTTTAAGGATGTTCTGAAACCGTTGATAGTGGAAATCTGAAGCGTTAACATTATTCTTCTGTTTTACTCTGCTTTCTTTGAATTATACAGACATGGTTAGGTATATGGTGGGAACTTGTGGTTGTTTGGGAGATTCTTATTAAGGTACATGAGCAAAGGACAGGATTAAATGTATGAGATTTAGGAATTATGCTGCTTCTATGCTAAGAAATTAACTCTAAACCAAGAGGTTTCTTTTTATTTCTGCACTTCAGGATATTTTTCTTGCTGTTTTCTCTGCTCTTCTTTCAGAAGCCTGACATTCAATTTATATGCATATAAGTAAAACCATAATATCCATTTAGTTAAAAGCTAGCACTTAGAAAAAACATTCAAGATAACTGTCAGTTGGTTTATGCATCTGATTTTCTGTATTGCTGTTAAATGTTTGTGATGAAAATGTTTGAAAGGATAATGTGCCCTGAAAGTTTTCTTTAAAACTACTTCTCTGCTTTTATTACCATTTCTGTATCACAGTTTACTTGTATTAACAGTGAAAATAAAGCTGGCTTTGTAAAGGCTCAAAGTAAAGTAATTTAATCTGGCTTGAGCAAAAAATCATCATCATGGAATGGCAGTGGTTAACTAATTTAATGGAAAATTAACTGGAACCTGTCTATATTTTTTAAAATTAAGCCTGTACAGAATTAGTTTCACACACGTATCTGTCATTCAGTTCCCTATTTATGTCATTAGTACTAATGACATTGTCGTTGTTACCATCATCATTCCCCTGGTTTCAAACGGTTCCTCTCTGGGTTCCAACAACAAGAACTACTAGCCTGTGCATTTTTGAGCACAGACAAGACATTGATACAGTGAATCTCAACACAAAGATGCAGTCATGATTAATGAGAAAATACAGTTTAAATACGAACCTTGTCTATTTATAACAAAATAAAACCTTTCATGTGCAGTTTTAGTCTTGATGGTTTCTGTGAGTTCTTCCTGTTTCCTGCTATTAAGAAGATAGAAAATGTACCTATTCTTGCTGAAACGTAAACTGTGTTGTTTTTTCACCTCCAGCATTAACCTTATCACTGGTCACTTAGAAGAACCAATGCCCAATCCAATGGATGAAATGACAGAAGAACAAAAAGAATATGAAGCTATGAAGCTTGTCAACATGTTTGATAAACTTTCCAGGTATTGTATTATAGCTGCTTTTGAGAGGCAGATTGTATCCTGGCTCTTTACTAAGGTCTAGTGCTTCAAAATACTCCTAGAATCAACTGCTTTGTAGGATTAAGACCACTTTAAGTGCAGAGAAAAGTGTTTAGCACTTCAAAGAAAAGAGTGATATGTTGCAGGACTTCAGAGGAAACCTCTTGAAGAGGATTGGACAGAACTGGGACGATCTGGTGGTCAGAGGACCTGCCTCCTGAATAGATAGGCTGATGGTAATGAAGAGAATTTCTTCTTTTAAAGTATGGGACGCAATCGAGGCCCAAGGCAAGCATACTTATTTTCCCCAAGTTAATGAGCAACATCTCATTGAAACTATTTATGTCTGCTGCTTATATGAAAAACAAATACAGTGTGAAAATAGTTGTTGTCAGAAACAATAAATTATATAATGGAGCAATTAAAAGGAAATTTACAGTTAAGACTTACTGTGGATTTATTGGGTTAAGTGTGAACTGGATTACGAATCAGCCTTTGTAATTTGTTTTATGTGACGAAGGCAATGCCGTGAAAGAAATGGGTACTTCGTGTGACAGTATTGATGGAGTTACAGTATTAATACAAAGAGTTGGTCTTCAGTTCATAACTTTCTGTGTACAGAAGAACATAGCCCTGTATTGTTGCCTCTAGCTTTTTTTCTCTTTGGCTCAATATGCCTAGAATTTACTGGTTTTTATTTTCCCATACTTCTAAATATTGGAGTGATTGCTTGTAGGTTTTTTTTTTAATTGAAAAGCAAAGTTACACCCTTGAGAAACACTTCTGTAATACTATTTTGCCATTGAACTGAGCTGTAGGAGGTATATATATAACTGCATCCATTCTTCAAACATGGAAAAAACTCAGCAGCTAGAAATGTGCTTATGATAGTCGATTAACAAGGTCTATCAAGAGAAATTCAGCAAAACTAGTATTTCTTCCATCTGTTAAAGATAGGAATATGGCAGAAGATACAGGAGAATATGGATTTTACATTAGCTGTCAAAAACTGAATTACAGGCAAGATTGAAAGCAGGGAAGGAACTTAGAATAACTGAGCTGAGACTGTCAATGAAGTAATTGGGTATTTTTTCACATTATTTGCGTGGAAAGCAAGTGTAGTATGTTATAGTCTTCTTAGGAAAGAGAAGGAAATGCAATGCACACGTAATCTTAATTGAACTACTCTGTAAAATGCAATCATTGCTACATTAAGCCAGAGAATTAAGATGCTGAGATTCAAGGGTACCACAATAAAATGACTAAATGGTCTAAAATGTTCTTTGAAAGAAAGATTCAGGCTGCAGATAAGCTGAGATTGAAGACAAGTCAGTTGCTGTCCCTGCAGCAGTTACACAAAAACTCCCAATGGTTACTGTGGCACAAGAGCTCTTTCAGTTTGGAGGGTCGGAGGCACCTGCTGCAGTGCCTGCCACAGGCTGACAATAACTGAGCAGCTGCTGCCCTGTGTCACCACTTATCCTCTTGGCCAGCAGCATTGCTGTCACCTTGGGCTTTCTGTGCCCCTTACATCCACCTGCAGTTTCTTCTATAGCACTTACACTGCTTCAGGGCTGGCACTCTTTGTGGTAGGGTTTTTGTTTGTTTGTTTAGTATTGTAGTTTCTGTGGAACAGTGTTGTTGGTGTGACCCCTTTAGGTGCTGTGATAACATTAATAAAATCATTTCGCTGTTCTTCCCACACTTTGTTTTACTAAAAACTGGGGAGGAGGGAAATGCTGGCAGGAAGGAAAAAAAAAGTTAAGACTTGGAATGGGGAGGCTATGGGATGTTTTTTATAAATGTAATTGAGTGCAATTATGGGCCCTGCCGATGTTAAACAACATGGAAGTTGCCAGGCTTGCATACAAAGGGTTAGTACCTTGCTGATAGTAGTGGGAGTTCCGCCATGGTTTTGAAATAGAGCACTTGTGCTGCCTCCAGCTTGAGCCCTTCAGTGCTGGGAGTTTGCAGACTTAAATCTACATAGAATGCACTTCTTACCCTTGGTTTGCACCTTATGGATGCAAAGCAGAAGTTGCTTGGTTGGAGTTTTTGGTTGATCTGGGGTTTGAGTCTTCCTTTGAGGCAGAGTGCTTGTGGCAGGTTTCCTATTTCTGCTGCTCTCTATTGTCATCGTAGAAGGGGAAATGTGCCATGAACAGGTTCAGTTTGATGCAGTGCTTTGCTTATAGAAGGAAGTTGAGCAGGAACAAACAACTTTTCATCTTTGAGCAAGTTTATATAACTCAGTGTAACCTGAACAGGAGCTTAGAGTAAATTTATGTGATGTACAGCAAAACAGGTTTGCTTAGTTCACTGGTATTGTCCTAGCAGTGGAAGCTAAGCTTAGAAGAGCTGCCACACTTTTATTGGAGGAAAGTATGAGAAGAAAAAAAGTTGAAGGAATGACAAACTTGTCAACTTCCCTCTCTGACTGATGAGGATAATCAGGCCGGTTTGACACTGTGGTGTTCCAGTTTTGGCTTTGACTGGCTGAGGTATCAGAACTCGGAAGACAAATTTGCCAGGCAGTACTACTTCATTGGGAAATTATAGCCTTCATTAACAGCTGCTGAATTTGCACTGTATCCTTTGTAAAGGTTTATTGAAGCTATAAGTACAAAGGGACATACTTTTCTTAGTTCCATAATATGCCAGTGGATTTTTGCTTTTCAGGTTTCTCTTTATTTTCAGCATTGGCACTGAAAAATTGAAAGTTTTTGAGGTCATGTAAAACTGATTGATGCTTTTGGTCATTTCAGGTCATACTTCCCAAGCTTTTCTATTCTTTTACATTGTTGGTGTTTGAGCCTGTTCTACAAAAGCTTTTATAGAAATCAGTATTTTGATCAAATTTGGCTGAGTGAGATTACTTTTTAAAAATCATTAAATACATACAAATTGTAAGTATAAATGAGCATGAGAAATCTTGATTACTGCAGTTTTTGGGAGATGTATATACTACTTAGGCTGATTCTGGATGCCTGAACTTGGCCCTGATGTAACTCTGTGGGTTTTGTCTGCATTAAGTGTCTGTTGGTTCTTTGGGAACTGTTTGGTGACTGTAAATCAGTGTCGTCTGCACATGATGCACATCTTTGAGCTTCAAAAAACTCCCCAGATCTGCAAGGATTTAATTCAGCCTTCCTTTTTTTTTTTTTTTTTTTTGCAAAACTTCCAGTTAGCCACCTTAATTCAGTGTTGTGTGATATTCTGTCTATATAATAGATTATTGGAGATACTCTGTGTTAATTAAAATGTCTGGAAAAAATGCTAACATTTTTTCTATTATAAATGGTGGGTAGAATTGTATATTAATTGACTAATTTAGAATGTCAGGATGCTTTTTCCAAGCCAACCTTGTATTAATAGCAAGAATCCTTTTGCTGATAAAATGGTCTCCAATTATCACAGCTTGGGTTTTGTTGTACATTGAACAGAAGTCAACAAAAAGAGTAAGAGAACCTGTCTAAATAAGGTACCCTACTCATTAAAAACACAGAATTAATCATAGGATCAATGAAGAAGGCAATGCTACATCGAGTTTGTTTTTTTCTTCCTCTTTCTAATCACAGAACAAAATAATGTTCCCTGAAAGGATCGGAACTATTATGTGGCACTCAATTATAAGGAGGTGAATAGGTCCCCAAGACGCTGTTTTATCAAAGGGGCAGGCTGGTGTTTACATGATGGCTGTTTGATTACAGACACCATCATTAATTCTGTGTGGCAGTGCTGCACAGACATCAGGCAGGAGAGAGTCACCCTTCAAAACAAGGCAATGATTTTTGAGTCGTTATCAAGCTAAATTGCAAGCAGGAAGGCAGAACTTGCATGGATATATTTGAAGGGACTCTTAGGAGATCTGAAAGTGGAAGAAGAGAATGCATTTTACCAACTGTTTAATTATGGTGTGTTTCTAAGTACACTTGAATGAATGCTTTGTTTGCGTTAGAAAAATGAGTGTTACAAGGTGCATCTGAGTATGTGGAAGGTCACCTAGGGATTTCCAAACATGTATAAATACACCCACTGTGTGCTTGTATAGAACTTCATGGATATGGAAGAATTCCCACTCCATCTAGTGGGCTGAGGCCAGTGATGTTCTGCCCTATGGATGTGCTATAAACATTCAGTTTCTGGATAGTGACCTGTTTTCTGAGGCTCTGCCTGTCAGTTCCTGGCACTTTCTTTCCCACCTTGTCTCTCCCCGTAGACAGTGAGCACATCCTCAGGTAGTGCAGGGTGTCAAAGCACAGTGAAGGTCTAGATCGTGGTTAGAAACAAAATAGGCTGATCCTTACTTCTCCTTCTTTGGTGGCTTGCTGTATTTCTGTCTTCACACAGTTCCATTTTAGTGGGTAGCACTTGCCTGAGGAAGGATGTGTGGAATGCAGCCTCCTAATGCAGAGAACAGCAGCCCCCTACCAGCCCTCTTCTGTCCTGCTCAGGGACTTGCAGAGCAAGAAGCTCAGGAACAGAAAGGTGCTTGATAAGCATCCTTGTTATTCCGTTCAATGTGGCTCCCATCGTTAAAGCCTAAAGCTAAAGAGGGATGTGAAAGTGAGGCTGGAAAAGAGAAACCTCAAAGAAAGCTTTGCCTTTATAATTGACAAATGATGAGATAGGACTTCTTGACAATATTTAAAGACCTAAGAATTGTTGGGAGGAGAGGGAGGTTCCCACATAAAGGGGACTTTGTTTTCCTGTGTTTCTCTCCTTTTTCATGAACAAATTCCTTATCCTTTACTAGCTATTTTAATTCATTTATTACCAAAAATAAATAATAAATTCCTTGACTTCTGGCTGCAGTATTAAATATTGCAATTTAAGAGTACACTTTGGGATTTTCAAAACAAAAATCTAGGATCCTTTCAGTTTAAAGGGCAAGCAGTGTTGATTTTGTTCTTTGTGGCTACATTTTTGCATTCTAGAGGATACTTATTTTGTATAATGTTTAAAGTTTGAAAACCAAAAATACCTCAGATATAAAGGATTTTGTTTCTCTGTGGGAAAAAATATCTTTGCTATTAAGACACAACTCCAAAGTACTCCAGCTTTGTCTTTGGAGGACCCCTACAGCAGGCAGGGTTCTTGTCCTCTTTGGACATCAGGTTTGCAGTCTTCGTGTTTTGAGCCCTGATTGCATCTGATTTCAAGGGCTTAGAGGTGTCTTTTTCACATGTCTCCAAGAGATTCTCTGAGTGCTGTCACTTGGGCAGAATCTGCACACTGGATTGCATTGCCAGAAGGGAGAGGCCTCACTGGCAGTCCTGAAGTAATGGCAGGCTCTCTCCAGTCTGTTTAAAGATGGTTCCTATTCTTCCACACACGCTGAGGGAGAGCCTGGCCTGTGCTCTTGGTCTGGTCTTGCAAACCTCCTTCCCTGCCCTCACACTTAACACCAGACCTGGTCAGCCAAGCCACAGTTGTTGTTTCTCATTTGGCATTTATGAGTTTATCACTGTAGGATCTGATTGTCACATCTGCACAAACAGCTGCATTTATCTTACTGGTCTCTTTTTGAGACCTGATTTAACTGCATCTTGACTGTACAGTGTCTGGCATATGCATGTCCTGTGACTCAGATGTTACCTTTCTTGCTGTTCCTGTGGGTGCATCAAGGTTGGATTGACTGCCAGCTGTATACAAGGAATTGTCTCTTTTTTCAGCCAAGGTAGTAGTGCAGACCAGGCAGAGAGCTGGTGAGATGCCTTTGCTTCCCCACTGAGTGATGCAGTTTTATTGTCTGTGGCTTGGGAGGGTGGTAGATGTATGTTAAGTTGACAGTTTTACTGGGCTGCCTTTCGACCAAGGGGTAAATTAACATCAAACCTCTCTTCCTTTATTTAAGGTGACTCCTGAATATTTAGAGATGTTTTCCCTTTTTTTTTCCACATAAAATCAAAATGTTATCTTTGCCCTTACAGCTCTTGCCATAATCCACATATAAATGAGATGATAAAAAGTAAGGATTAAATAAATCTTTGCTAATACTTTTTGATTGGCTTAATCAATAATTAATCATCTCTTAGATGAGGCTATAGCTTGTGGAGTAGATATAATTGGATTAACTGCTGAGCGGTCTTTGGAGCTTTGAAGAGATTAAAATGGCTGTAAATCCTATAATTAAACTGCCACAAACAAAAGCAATAGTATTAGAATCAGTCAGCTTTTTTTTAAGTGAGTCAGCAAGTCCTTAACACACCCCTAGTAGTGGTGTAGGCAGAGTCTGTTCTCGTGACTGATTTATTTCCTTCAACAAGATGAATATGTATCAAATCATTGTTTTAATTGCTAGGGCATATATTAGCCAGAATGGCAGGTGAAATTTTGGGAAGAACTGGCTGTCAGAGAACTCTCAGAAGAAAAACTAGTTTGTGTATCCAAAACAGTGAACCTGCTCCTTGTCTTGAGCCTATTAGGCACTGACTTTTCATGGTGTCTTTAATTGGCTAAGTAGTTTTGGCCTACATGAATGAAGTCTTTATCTGTCCTGCTCTTCCCCTCCCACCTATTTGGGAAGTTTTTTTGTGCCTTTTTCTTCAGAACAGAGGGCTTTAGCAGGAATAACTTCTTTTTAGAGGCTCATTATGTACTGAAGCATATATTGTATGTGAGTGTATTATACACATGGGAATTGATATGTGTGCACATGCTAATATGGATTCTTTTTTTTCAATCTCTCACAGAGATGAGCTCATAAAGCCAATGGGAGTTCGGCCTGATGGGACAATGGCTCCATTGGAGGAAGCAGTCAGCCAGTACCATACCAGCAAGCAAGAGAGCTCAGATTCAGACTAAGGCATCACCTGCTTCACTCTCAATTCTCCTCTAATCCGCACTTCTCCTTAGAGCCACATCTTTTATCCTCGCATTAGCCAGCATCACTTTAACTGTTCTATATTGGCATATTTAAATGATGAGTCCTGTGCTGTAATGTCTGAATTTTTATTATGTCTGTTTAGAGAACATATCAATTTATTAGTTTATGATCTTTATTAATTTAAAATTAAATGTATTTCAAATGGAGAAAAAGTGAAAGCCTACAGTGTAAAATAAAGTCCACTTTCATTTTCCAGAATCTTGTTTTCTGAACTCTGTAGGTTTTCACATTCTTGATAATCTTTTGTATTGTCTTGCCAGTCTTCCTCTTTATATAATTGTATTAATGAAGCGTGTTTACTTAATGGCATTAGGAACAGAGGGTGTTTAGACTTAGAAGTCTGACCTTGTGAGGCTGCTTTAGCTAGCATTGAGCCGTGATTTCAAAGCTCCCGTTTTTAAAGTGCCCTGGGGTTTCTTACTGCTACAAACGTCTCCAGTTAAGCTGCTCCTTAAGATTTTAACAATGTGTCAGTGACAGACTGCTTCTAAAACTGCCTTTAAATTGGGAACAAGATGATGTACCTTGTATGTCTTCCCTCCCTCCCTGGTTAAGACCACACAAATATACTCTCTCCTCCCCTCTTTGCTTAAGTAAAAACATCCCTATTGAAAATGGTGTTCAAGTATTGCACTTAAATGTTGCCATGAATGGGAGGGGACTGGAGTGCATGTGCCTGTGTTTCACTGAATTGGGCCTACTTTTGGAGATTAACTGCTATGCCTCAATTGAAGTGAAGTCAAACTAATCAACAAAGAAATATTTCCTCTTAGAACTTAGGAAGCAATGGGATAGAGAACGGGAGGGGTGGAAGGAGAAGAAAGTGTCACTTTCAATTCTGTACTTTTTAAAAGCAAAGATTAAAGTTTTAGGCGTGCTGCACTGCTGTTGTTGCCTCCTTGCCTGCTTGGTTTCTTTCTGTGTGTTTCTCCCAGCATGAATTACATGAAGAATAATCCATGGTCTAGTTTCTAATTTCATATTTTGTGCAGAAGCTTAAACATGCCATTCACTGGGGACGTTTCAGAGGCTGGTGATGATTCACCAGTTTGTTTCCTATGACTTGACAGTAGTTCTCTGAACTAAGGAAGTTGGTGTTCAAAGACCCTGTAAAGGGGGATTTGGTATGAAATTGTGCTGTGGTTGTTCATGTGAGGAGTTTCTACAGATGATCTTAGTCTTCAAAAAGAACTGAAAAGAAAAAAATAATGCACTGCTGTCCTCTCAGTGGTTCAGTTTGTATTTCCAAAACACTGCCCAGCCACAGCAATGTCTTTCCTGGTACATATGTAATATGTAATGTCATACCTCTTCTATGTGACTCCAAAAGTGGAAAGGACTTGTTGTCCAAGAGCAAGAAATGTGCTTGGCTGTATCTAAGCTGGGTCTCAAAAATGTAATTCCGGGTTTAGCATCATGCACTGACTACTCTGAGACCAGCACAGGCGATTTTTGTGTGCCCTACAGGTGCAAAGAATTTGTGATCCCTCCCTGAGGAGCAAAACTTCCCTAGGCCTGTTAATGAGGAATGGTCTTGGTGTCAGCTGGGGCTGGGGAAGGACTTGTTTCAGTCATGAGCTTCTATAGGGGCTTCTTGCTGCAGAGCACTAAGTAAAGAGCATGAAAAAGAGCAAAATCTCAATTGTTGCTTTACAAGCTCTAGAATATGCTCCTACAATTAGCGGGCTAAAGAGATTAATAAAACAATAATGGCTCTAGGGACCTTGTTACAAGCAGTATAGCACGAGGCTCTTGTGCTCTGCCCCCTGTCATTCACCACAGGGCAGCAACATTTGCAATAAATAGTTCTGTTTAGTTTATCTTGGAAAACAGATGCTTGTAGAGGGTTCTACAGACATGAGATGCTGCTTCAATTAAAAAGAAAAAAGTGAAGACCAAGCATAGGAGGTTCTGCCTGGATCCTCCAGTTCAAGAGTGGCTGTCACAGCTGGGTTGCCTGTAGTACAGGTTAAGGTAGATAAATTAACAACTTGCATTAGTGCAGTGCCCCAGAGCAGCTCTTGTTCCAAGGGGATAGTTTGTGAAAAGGCTTATTTTTGCAATATAACATAGGTCCTACCTTAGCTGCACTGGCTGGAGATCTGGGAATATCTTAAAACAAAGGTCCTTCAAATCAGCAGTGCCTCTGTTTCCTTTTGTGCTGGCTGGTGTTTTAAGAGTAACTGAGCACATGGTAGGACTTCTCTAGGATGGGAGTCTGGAGAAAAATGAGGTTAAAAAAAGGAGCTCCCTGGAATTTTTTTGTACTGTGAATTTTTGCTCCTGAATTTATTTTCAAAGTTGAACCTCCAAAACTAGAGGCTTGGGCAGCTGAGTCTTGCTTAAACTGGCAAACCAGGCAGTATGGGGAAGGGTCTCTAAGGGAAATGTCTCATTTTGCTCCCTTCTGAGTAAAAAGTCAGTAGGTTTTTTAGTGGTGACAATAAAGGTGTTACCCAGTGGGTTTTGGGGACATGTACCTTTCACTCCCAAAAAGTCTTCCACAGTCAGTCCCAAACCCAAGATCTTGTGTTTCAGTCTTTACTTTGGCATCAACAGTCCAAAGCAGCACAGTTCTCAAAAAGCTCATCAATTATTTGGAAGCTTTGCTTCTCTTTGTTTCCCATTAGAGTTATGAAACAAAAGATGATGGGAAATTGCTGAAATTTGTCAAAATACTTTGTTCTTTTGTAAAATGATACAGATATATTTGTTTAAATGTTCGTGAAAACTTCCTGGCAGGTATTCCCAAATGCTAATTGAAAATTCATGTGCTCCAAAAGTGGTTTTCAGGAAAAAGGGTCATTTACAATCTGTTAAAAATGTTGTGAGAAAATTACCATAATTTTAAAGAAATTTGCCAAAGCGGAAAACCACATTAGCTTTGATGTTTTGAATGTACAACATTGCCGTATGTGTGTGTGGCCAAAGTAGATTTTTTTACCCTATATCTTGAGTTTTTCCAAGTACCTAAAAATCTGCAAAGGCTTTTTAAAAAAATAGAACAACTACACAATAGCATCTTTTTCTTCATACAGTTCTTCAAATGGCAAATTTCCCATACCTGGGTGAAAAATCAGTTGTCATAGGTGGCTTTAAGGAAGAGAACATTACAATAAAGCTGTAGCATTGGTGGGTTGCCAAGCACCCTAGTCAGAAAGAGGAAAGTAAACCCCAAAGTACACAAGATCCCAAATCTCCTGAAGGAGCATTCCACAACATTGTACTTCAACTTATTACCACAAAACAGCTAATAAAATCCTGTGCTTTAATAAGGCTGGCTGTAAAAAGACTCTTCCACTGTTCAAACAGTGGAGAGCCAGACTTTGCTGGTCTTTGAGTAGCAAGTTAAACAGCTGCCCAGGTCAGATTCTTTTCTGGTCAAGCATGGAAAAGCAGTGATTTAGTAGGAGTGCAAAGATGTGGCTCACTTTTAGACAGAAAAAAAACCCCAACACTATTTAATGCTACAAATGATCATCCTTCTTGCATTAACAGCTACTTACATGGGTCTGGCCCTTATGGACAGTGTCACAGAACATTTCTTGTTCTCTATGCAAAAGATACATGTCACTCTGGTGATGATATTTAGACCAGGAATTTTGGGCAAAGTTGATGTCCTTTTGGCTTTTGCAGGTGTGCCTGGAAAGCAGCTCCCTCAGCAGTGGAGGAAGAGCCTGGGAGAGTGGGCTGGAGGTGCTTGCCGAGCTGTGGTGGGTGAGCTGGGCCGGGAGCCCATCCCGCCTTCCCCTGCTGCCTCAGGGAGGCCTCGGGGGTGTGAGGGGAGGGGAAAGGTGGTGACTGTAGTAAAGCCGAGTGTTTTTCAGGGCTCCTCCTCTCACCTCAGCAATGCAGGTGAGTCCTGTTGATCGGCTGCTTTTCCCTGTTGCTCGCCCGTGGAAGGCTGTGCCTGCCTTGAGTTATTGCCCTCGGTTGGAGGCCTCGGGAAGGCCGTGGGTGTTTGTGAGTCCCTCAGCTGGGAGGTGCCCCTTGCCTTGCTGTCCTCCTTGAGAGCAAGCCCCTCTTCCCTGCCCTGTGTGAGTGAGGAGGAGGAGGGGGTCCCACAGGAAGGCACCCAACTAATTCTTGGGAGGGAGGTAGGAGCAGCCCAGTCTCCTCTCTGTGCAGCATTGGAGCCACTTTCAACTCTGCCATGAGACAACTCCGAGGCCCAGGCTGACCTGCAGCTACTCCCACCACAGTGGCCTCTGGCCAGTCTTGAGGACAGCAAATGCAGTCTGTAAGGTAGGGAAAGGAGCCCAACCCCCCCCCCCCAAAAAAAACCCAAAACCTGACCATTGCCACAAGCAGGCCTACAGCATCGTCTGGCAGCACGTGGGTCACCTCAGCTCTGTCCTGGCTGGGAGCTACAGGGTCCAACAGGACCAGGTAAGTTCCTCGAGCATCCCGGCTTTCTGCAGGGCAGGCGAGAGCACAGATCACTGAGCTGCTGACGTGCCTGGGAATCGATCCCTCCGACAGCATGCCAATCTCTGTGGGGTACCTAGGCAGGCTTTTAGAGGATGCTGGGGAAGGAATTATTCAGACCACCCATCTTAGCTGGCTAAATTACCCGGGTAGTCTCTTCTAACTCCTTTTCCAGTCACGGATGAGAGAGAGGACAATTCAGAGTAAGGCTAATTTGGGTGCACTGAATGACCCTCTGCAGGAGCTTTGCTTTCCCTCCCTCGTCTACAGAGGGAGCCTGGGGAGACCAGCTGGTTACATTTAACTGCTAAATTGGTTGCCAAAAGATGGGTGGTGAGAATTCCTTCCAGTTTCCCCTTTGCCATGGACCACACTCTTCCCACAGCAGGATGCTTGCTTGCTCTCTCCTGCAAATTTGGAGATTGATCAGTGCAGTGGGATGCAGGCCCCCAGGAGCCACCACAAGACAAAAGCTGCATCACACCCCTTGGCAGGTACTATATAATGCTGTGTGCAGGATTTCATGGGCTTCCTGCTTAAACAGGTTCTTTAAAGCAGCTTTGCTTTTGGGAGCCTGTTTAACAACTTGCCTTGGTATAAGCCAAGTTTTACATACATTCTGAAATTTGAAAAACAAAGTGAAACTTCCAGCAAAAACTGTAACTGGAGAGAGACAGATAACGGAAAAGACTTCTGAGTTCACTCCAGATGTTGCAAATGGAGAGGGAGGTGAAGCCATTCAAAATAAGCCCTGCTGAGATTGCCCCTTCCTCTTTGGCCTGATAAACCCATTACAAATTAAAAGAAAAGCAGCCAAGATTGTCAGGCTTCAGGACATCCATTAGCCCTCTTTTACATTTTAGAGCTTGTTACAGATGCTGACTGTGGGTGTTAGTCCTTGCCTAGCCAAAAAGCCCAATTCTTCATTCTAGAAGCTTAAAATACAAGAATTCTGCCAAGAATTCAAACCTGAACCTAAACTACCAGGATTCTCAGGCTTCAGGATTATTTTATGCTCAAGAAGTGAGCTTGCCTGGTAAATCACAGTGCTGTGGCACATCCCACTTCCAAAGGCGTTTGAAAAAACCAGTAGTTTTAATGTTTTTTTGTTTGTTTTTTTTTCCTTTTTGAGAAGAGACTAGTGACTGTCTGGGTTCCCTCCTGTTTTTTCAGTCCCTAAATGTTCATAACACCCTGTTGGGGAGGAATAATTCCCATCCAAGTTGTAAAACACACTTATAAGTAGATGGGAAAAGCATGAACAGAGCTGTAAAGAAAACAAAACCGCCAGGAACAAGATCTTACTTTGCATGCTTCTCACTGTTGTATTTTTGCCCCAATTAGCATATTTTAAAGACAAGCCTTTTTTTAGAAAAAAAATTCTGCGATCTGCCTGAACTGTTCTCAAGCTTTGAACTTTTCCATCCTTTCTATTGATTATGGCCAAG